CACACTCACACACACACACTTACTGAAACATTCCATATGGAAACACTAAAGCGTGTAATCGTATAGTTACAGATGAAGTTGCAGTTGCTTTTCACAGCCTGACACTCGCTGAGACGCAGATATAAGCAAGGACAGGTCGATATATGCAGCCCGCCTACACATGCACACACACAAACAACACATGCACACACACTGACGCCGTGTTAGCAAGCTGAATCTGCTTTGATTCAGCCTTTTGTTTACTTTAACTTTGATGCTGAGGGGACATGAACTTGCATTTTCTCATCCTCTTCCTGCCTGGCCTACATGTGTGGGTGATTTGTCTGTCTCCATGTGTCTGCTCATTTGTCTCCGTATATGTCTGGTCCTCTGTCTGCGCCAATATGATGAAAAACGATGACAGAGAGTCAAGGGGATGCTTAAGAGAACCAAGACAGAAAGCAACAATGAGAGAGTGAAGGGAGGAAAAGAGGCTATAACAACTAGATTTTATATCCCCGTGGTTAAGCTGAGAAAGGCTGAGAACACAGAACTGACTTGTTATAGAAATTGCTGACACTGTGTACAACAGCTACAGTATGTTGTGCAACAGTTGTGCATGTTTTGCTCAGTGGAAACAGATCAGAGTTGGTGACCACTTGCTTCACCATCACATCTAAATCATGCACAGATAACCTATCTATATCCATCATGTGTGCCACATGCTTCCTATATGCCATAAATTGAAGATATGAGGACGGTGTTGTTGCTGCATGCTGTTTGGTAACTGTGACTACTATCATCTCACATATCTGCAAAAAATATGAATCTAAATCTCCCTCATGCAAATTAAGTATGGTATGTTCTTACCCTACTCACCACTCGATCTCAGTTTCTTAATATGCGAACATACTCTTTCATTTTCTTCATCCCACCTGGGTTTCTATCCTCTCCTTCACAGCTGTTGTGGTTTGCATATTTATTTTGTTGTCCTCTTGCATCTGAAGTAGAGCAAAATTCAACTGTTTGCTAAACCCCTCTGCTGAACAGGAGTCATTAAATCACAATTTAGGAAACTCTACAAACAGATATCTGCAAGAATCTGTAGACAACGGTATGTCACAGTTTTGCATTCCTGGTCGCTGCTCTTTTATGCATGCACAGACGCTCAGCCCTCAGTCAGCAATTTTGCACTTATCCTGCCTCTCTGCCACTCCTACCTGCCAACCAATCACCTCTCTATACTTTTCCTGCTCCTGCCTGTCGACCACGCCCACCTGATCAAGCAACTCAGTTCACCTGTTCCTCATTACTCTCAGCATGTACATATACCCCACCATTGCCATATTGTTCTTTGCCACTCATACAAGACTCTCCAGGACTTTATTCCGGACTGATCTCCCATCGCCGACCCTGCCTGCCTCTGACCTGCCTGCTTCGTTTGATTCCCAGTAAACGCCTCAGCCTTCTGTCCCGGACCTCAAGACCTGCTTCGGCGTCGTTGGTTCCTGTTTGCCTGTGGCTGCTTGGCATTACCATCCGACGACAACACGACGGTGTGAGTGTTCCAGTCAGCTTACCTGTGGTCCAGAGATTTTCACTGCGTAGCCACACATGCCATTGTGTATGCATCCTGTGAGTACTTACCTGTTGGCTTCTCGACCCTCTGCCTGGCTTTGACCTGTCTTGTGCCTTTCCCCCTGTGGTTCGACTGCTTGGTTGGGTTCTTACCTTGTTTTGGATTATCCGCCTCACTGACTCTAGCCCCTGCCTGCTCCTCCATGGTCCCGTTGCCTATTTCTGAAGTGAACTGTGTTTCCTGTTGGGCTAACGCCACTGTTCACTCACCTGCCTCCCGGCCAAGTGCAGCCTGCATAACCAGCCGGCCTGCCAAGGACTTAGTGAAGAAACATTGCTGGAGTATTGAATTGTATTGTGTGCTGCTTACTTGTCCTGCCCTGAACCTGCCAAATTGTAACAGTAAACGTCAAACTGTTCCTGGTCTCCTTTGTGCTGCAATTGGGTCCTAACACAGGGGCCTAAATATAAAAAAACAGATTTAACAGCTTGTGTATCTGCTTTAAGTTAAGCTGCTATTGTTAGCATGCACCTAACTAGCTTGATAACATTAACTAACTCCATTAGCGTGGGGTTCAACGTTATGTGTGTGCCCGTTCACGATAAGCAAAGCCATTGTGTGATATTTATTGACGGTATAGAAGGTGGCCCTGGATGCTATTAGCAACAACGCTAGCTCTGTCCTGCTCTATTGGATCTGGGAGAGTTTACACACCTGCAACCCCAGTCAGTATTACCCTGAAGAATTTTAAACGACCTGGGTACAGCATTGGAGGCAGGACCCATTTCATTTCTATAAAAGTTGCTTAGTGCTCCATACAGCCAAAAATGTTTACCTGTGCATATAAAATCTTCCAGATGATCAATGTTGCTTCTGCATCATTGGGCCCAGAGTGTAGGCACACTAGAGACTTCCACTGGCCAAGCTGGCTACTTCTGGTTTACTACTCCACTATCTTGAATGAGAATAATATGATTTAATTGTGCGACTCTTCTAGACTTTCCAAATGTCATCAGACTAAGTAGTGAAATAAGTCATTTTGCTGGGATTGTGATTGATTTACAGATGTCTTTTTGAGCCTAATGGCAACACATGATGGACTCAAATGGCCACTGTGAAAATTTACCTTGAAGCCTAGCACACTTCCTGAGGACGTGGTTACACCGTGATGATCTAAGAGCCGTAGCATGAGCAGCACATTAGCAACGCAGCACAGCAGCTGCTGTCTTCTGTGTCGAACAGGATGTGTTTCGGTACAGTAGAGTAAAAGGTCACCTATGTTGGGCAGCATGCAGAACCCCATACACAATCACTTACGAGTGTAAAAGTCAGCTGAGGACATTTAAAAGTAAGCTAGATTCACGGTTTTATCTAATGCTAGCTTAATTAGCTGGCTAGCTACAGCTGATAAAATCTGCCAGGGAAAGTTGACATAAGACAGCAAAATTGCATGCTACAAAAGAGCCTGCTTTTGTCCCATTGTTTATGAAATTATTAAGAATTTCATCTACCAAAACCTCCCACAGTTGTAGCAGCAGATAACGTGTAATATTTCTTTCGCCCGATTTAAATCATCCTGATATTAGATTCCAGCTCTACCGTTATCATGACCCAAAGTATTTAATCTGAATCAGTTTTTTTTTTGACGTGTGCAAAGACATTCACCTACTGTACAGTGCTTATTCTGCTGGAAATATAACAGAAAAAGACAAAGAAGACTTTTTTTCCCCCGAAATTTACTGAGAAAATAAATCCTGAGATTCCTGGCATTTTTCATCTTTTCAAAGACTTGGTTGAACAACCCTCAAATCTTTCTCAAATAAAGTTGCAACCACAATGTTTCTGTCCCTCGCAGGAGCAACGTCACCAGTGGTGTAGTGGTAGTTAATGAGGTGGGTGTGCTACAGCGTAGATAGGTAGGTTGCCAGGGAGGATGTGGGTATACTCTCCTATATTACAATGACTTTTTGGCCATGTGGTGATTATACTGTCCAGAAAAAGGGTGGGTATACCCCGTCTACTATAAAACTTCTATTAGTAGCCTGGGCTATTATTTGCTTAAATTGCTGAAATCAACAGGCTTATATTTGGGACAGGCTTTTAATTCCTTTCACACAAAACTTTGTTCAGCAAATTTAAACCAATATGAATATATATAGAGAGTTATGGCACTCGTGGAGTTCACCACTTTATCCTGTTAAAACGATATTCAAAACTTGGATTCACATTTGAGAAAAGCCCTTTTGATTCTTCTAATCTGAGGACCCTTACAGAGGAGGAATGGACACATAATTTGAGGTAGCCAACAACCCGCTTTTATACATGTGAAGAACATCTATTAAAAGACTGAACTGCTTGGGGACCAGACCAGACTTCCAATTGAGACAGGCGTTTATTTGTCAAAATGTGTAGCCACACCAGGCTGGTAAAAGGGACTTGGTGTTCAGTTAGGGCTAGGCTTATAATTGAAGTTTTACAGTTTGCATACACTCTCCACTGCACTACCGAACATCACCTAATTTTAACTCCATGTGGAACAAAGAAAGAACATATTTGTTCCAACCAGAGAGAAATGATCAAATTAAGCGACCCATAGTTATATTGCAATAATATTTCCCTATTTAACAGATTATTAAAGGTTTTATCATCCCTTTTAACCCGATATAAAATCCCTTCAGACCTAATTGGATCGGGTCAGTCTTTTCCAAGACATATGAGGCATTTTTATTCTCATTTGGCTACTATGCAAACAATTAGTAGAATATGAGGGTCTGTGTAAACTCACCTACTGTAGACTACACTCGTGCTTGTCAGATGTAGCAACAGTAACCATGGCGAATGGAGCATAACGGTTAAAGTTGAACCTGCTGCTGCAATTAAGTTTGGGTTTTTCTTTCCATGTAGTTAGCCTCAGCCAGCACTTGCCAAACCAAACACTCAAGCCAAAGACTCCTCACATATTTCACAGCATTATTAAGCTTCTTTGAGTGAGTTTTATTAGTTGAGTCATTTTGGACCTTGATGTGGTGATAAATCACACTGGATTGTTGTATTGGATTGTTTTAGTTAAGAGCTTTATGTCATTAGATGATAGAGTTATAAAGACTCTCTTGAAGAGAGTTGTTTACCACCCTGTTTTCTCTGAACCACATCAGTGTGATTTGGTGGTGAATTTCACTTTAATAGAGGTCATCCTGCATCCGTCCCGGTCTGTTTTGTTGCTGTCTGGGGGGTTGAGAAAACGCAGAAGGTCTGTCACTGGCTTTGGGTGAAGGGCTGAACATTTGGGGGGGAAAGCAGGGAAAGTAGGAGGAGATTGTGGGAGCAGGAGCTGGGGGGAGACTGGGAACAGATATACGATCACTTACTGACAAAACTCAAGTACAGCAGCAGCTGTTTAGATTGAGTGTTAGTCATCGGCCTCTCTTCAGTCTCTGTTCCCCCCTCCTCTCTTTCTCTGTCTCTCATGAGAGTGTTGTGAATAGCTCCTGAAATAGAGCCCGCTGGAGCGTAAAGGGAAATGTGAAAGACGGCGTGGACAGAGGGGGTGTTTGTGTGAGCAATGTGATATGGTGCCAGTGTGAGGAATGTGCTCAAATGGCGAGATACGGAGTGAAAAGACCAAGAAAGAGTGACGTGACAGAGACAAGGCCACTGAGATAAGTGAAAGGGAGGAAAAGAGAGACAGAGAGAGAAACAGAGAGACAGAGAGACAGAGAGAGAGGGAGACAGAGAAAGGGGTGGGGAGCCGGGGACAGCGAGGCGTGCTCAGACTGAGAGTCTGAATCTGAGAGAGGAAGAAAGCTGGTGAAGGTTCACCGTTATTTTTCCTGCCACACACACATACAATTATCCCGTACAGAAAGGATTTATCTTTGTGTTTTTTCACTCTCATACTTTTATGGACCTCGGACTACAGAGAAGTCTGAAAAATCTTTCTTAAACTTTGTGAAAGGATCTAAACTTTTATCACAGGACATCAACCAGATTAAGAAGATTAACAACTATCTCATAGTTCTGTTAAAGTCATCAGCAGTGTGGGAATATTACCTTTGACATGGGGTCTGGGAAGGAGCTATTTCTTCTTGGTAAGTCTATCAATGAGAGCACAATGACCGTGCGTGTGACTGTGTGTGTGTGTGTGTGTGTGTGTGTGTGTATGACTGGGTGGGTGTGTGACAGTTGCGAAAAAAGAAAAAAGGGAAAAAAAGGGAAGTTAAGAAATGTAACACTGCAATTGATGTACTTCTAGTTTTTGTTTCTCACACTTTTTTTTTTTTTAGTAATATGTGGCAACTATAGAAACATATGTAAGTGTTATTTCTTCATTCATTATTCTCAATTTTAAATAATCTTAACCCCTGATAACATCTACTATCAGTGGTCACAACTTGTAAATTCAGGGTGACATTTTTAGAAACCTTATTCAAGGTCACATGTGCAACATCAGTCACAGTGAGCCCTGAGCAGCCACCCAGCTGTGTTTGCTGCTGTGATGTACGGACGGAGGTCAGAGAGGCTGCTGTGTAGTGTCTGGATTGATGCTGCAGGACTGACCAGGTCAGTTGGAGCAGCTTCTCAGGCTGTCAGAGTAAAATAAACCCAGAGTCTGAATGTGTTGTGGCAACGTGCAGAGGTCTGATGGCACACAGTGACTCAAAACGTGAACAATCTATAAACCGCAAACCTTTATAGGATGGGGTTTTTACATCCGTGTCAGTCAAATTTCAGAAACTCACCACCAACATGTTTATAACACAGCTTGCTGGTTACACCTGAAAATGCAAAATGACAACTGAAATGAAATTTAAAAAAAAATACAAGAAAAAGTGTCTGTCAATATGAATTCTGTTCATTTATTTATCTGTTGTATCTAATCATCATGTTGCTGTTTCTTAACCACAGCTTCTTGCCACTCAGTGGTTTGGTTATTGGGCCCACAATTTTATGGTTTTGGTTTCTATCACTCTCATCAACCTCATTTCCTGCAGCAAATATTCAACTCGGAAGTTGGTGGAGACCAAAAATAGAGATAAAATAAGAGCAAATACTTATAAATTTATCATTATCAGGATTATTCATTGTTATAAATTCTTTATATTTATTTATTTAAATAAATGCTAAGGGTGCTCCATGTCTGCTGGATGTGTAAATATTTGCCAACCATTTGTTAACCTGTTAGCCATAGCAACTTTATAAGATGATAATATGACAGTGTTGTGTTTACAACTTGTTGTGCTGCCTCTAGATGATAAAAAACAATGAATAAACAAATAAATGCTGACTTACAGTACTGCATAATATACTGTATATTTTGGTTTTAAAAAGTTTGAAACCAGCTACGGCCTATTGGAGGCCCAGTTTGAGAATACAAGAGTGGCTGCTACTTTATATAAAATTCTGCTATCAAAAGTCAAAAATAGCTCAGCTCTTACAAACTTGTTGTTTTTCTCCAGAGGAGCTATTCTATGATTTATGACCCTAAAATTGTGTGTCAAATATTTTTTTTTTTTTTTTTACTATGAAGAGCCAGAACAGCTGCTCATGATCTAAGTTTCTGCTCTTATGCTACTAGCTTGTAGAACACGAGCTGAAGCTGGTCCACAGTTTGTTTTATTGGTAATAGCTAAAATCTGCATCGCAATTTTGAATGTTTACTAAACACCGAGGAGTTGAGTTGTTATTTGTCAGTGCTGTCGTTTCAAAGGTCAGCAGAAGCAAAGATTCTCTTAATGTTGAAACAGGTACTGATGTGTAAACATGTGACTAAACAGCATTGAGCAGTCAGCTTGACTTTTGATCTGAGTAAAATGAGACATGTGGGTTCTAAGAAAATGCAGCTGCTCTCATGCACATTACACACATGGTGATGGAGGCAAACAATGGTGCATGCAAAAAGGCTCATGCTGTGGCTGCGTGTCTAACTTTCACTTTCTGTCAGGCCCAAATGTAATGCGACAGGAAGAGAGACAGAGAAAAAAAATGCAACATACAGTTTATGAAGAAATGTACGACAGAAGAGACACAGAGAGGAGCGTTTATGTTACAGACAACTACACTCATTCACCACTGTGCTTACTGGTGAATGAAAGTCAGCTGCGAGTCGAACACAAAGTCACTCTTTGTGTATTTCCAGACTTTGTTTCTGTCCACAGTTATTTAGTCATCAAGTTAGACGCAGTCACACTGTTTCACACACTCACTGACACTGTCGAATTCGGCCTGGTTTTCCTGAAGTGGAGTTTCTGTGGGAGCTCCAGCAACAACAGAGGGCTCATTGTGATTGAGGGAGGGAAATACTAGATTGGGATTTGGGCTATTTTCTTATAGCCCAAAGCGCTGTTTTCTGCTTTACCAGTGACTCATGAGTCAGAAAATGTGACTGACATGTGTCTGCTGTGGTGTAGGTAATCTGACAGGAAGGGGGTGGAGCCATGGAAGATGAAAACAAACACACTAAAATAGGAAATGCACATATTTAACTCAACAAAACTGTGACACAAAGGTCAAGCTTACTTAACAGCTGTCTTATGTGACTATTTCAGTGGACAAGAAGTTGCACTTCTATAAAATATATCCTCTATCTCAGAGAACAGAGGAACTGGGCCAGACATTGGACTGTGTTAGCAGATAGGTGATAGAGACACATAAGCTGTGTTTCCATAAACAGATTTTTATTTCCAATTTTAAATATCACAAAACAAAACGTTTTTTTTAGGATATGGAAACGCCTTCGCAGAATAGCTTCGGATGTAGCGAAGATTTCACGTACATGACTGATCAGCTGTTTTTGCTGTTAGCGTCTTTTTGGATATTTCTATAGAGGCAGGATTTGTCTTCACCTGTGGACAGCATGAAACATGGCCGTCTGACATGACAGAGCAATTAAAGCTCTCTATTTTTCTCTAGATTGGTTAGATGGCCAAGGCGTTTTTTTTGTTTCCAGTTTGCAACCTGTACTTCTGCTGCTCTGTTGGATTACAGCCGTGTCTTAAGTGTAGCACCAACTTCTGATGAAAGTACGCTTTGCATAGCCTAGATTATATGCTTCAAAGCAGTTAATAGGAACGCGTCTAATTCGCATTTCTATTTTGTGACATTTAAAAGTAAAACCTTAAAAGCTTTTTGACATGTTTTTATTTTGCCATGACTTTGGACCACCATTGCTGTAAATCTAAGCCGACTGCAGCTGCGTCCTCTAAACTTTTTACAACAGAGGGATACTTTTTGACGTGTAGATGAAAAGCATTGTCACTGAAAACTGTAATAGCTCCACGGCAGAGCTGCATCTAACTCTTGACTTTTTAGTCTGGATAAGATTTGTCATTTGTTGCAGTGTGATCAGTGGCACGCTTTAAGTGCAATGGCAAAAATGGAAATGGGGCACCACTACTGGGTGCAGGGTTGCACTTAAAGTTTATTTTCTGTTCAAATGTCACCAGTTAAATGGCTTTTGGAGCCAGCTCAAAGCTCAAGGGTTACTTGGACCATTCAAATGTCCTTTCTGGGAAGAACCATGCTTGGAAATTTCCCATAAAGGCCTGACAGACTGAATGCCTTAAAAAGTGGGCACAACACATAGGTTCGGTTGCTCTGCTGTGTCTTCCTTGTTCAGATTTTGCTTTAACTGTGAACTGAAACTAAATCCCCTCTCTCTCTGTCCCTGCAGGATTATTGTGTATGCTGGCTAAATGCTCCTCTGAGTGTCCAGAGGGCTTCACATCAGAATTCGGTCCATGCACTGGTAATAATCTGCCATGACCTCTCATTGAAACTGGCCCTCTCCACTGTCCTGCATCTGTCCACCACTGCTTTTTTTGTGGCTTCTACTCAAGACAGGTGCTGTTTTGCATTTCCAATGCCTTTTACTGGAGTCGACCGGGAAAAGTAGCCTTATTTGTTACAATTCACTTAGTTTTTCCATTTTAGGAATTCAACTTGCAGCACTCATTTCCAGTGTGGATTGCAATGAAAACAACAGCAGAAGAGGTTTAAATTCTTGGATCATTACAATTTCAAACAACTAGAAAAAATAAATACAAGTGCCCTGACAGCAGTGCTGTAACCTCATCCTGGTGATTATGATGGACTGAGGAGCTTAAAGAAAAAGAGCTCATAAGAAAGAGCGCTTAAAATCAAAATGAGAAGTTTACGATCTATTGACAGAGTCACAGCAAAAACATGTCTTATTATGTGTTGTTCTGTGAGATTCACCACTGTAACTGTATTCTCTTTGTTTTTATTTATTTGCATCTAAATCTACAGACGTGGATGAGTGCGAAGAACAAAAACCATGTGGGAAATACTCACACTGCTTCAACACGAATGGCAGCTATTACTGTCAGTGCAAGTCGGGATTCAGAAACCTCGGGACAGGGGGTGTTAACTTCACGCTAGGGGGACATTGCCATGGTGAGCCTGAGTGTGTGTTAGTGCGTGTGAGCCTGAGTGTGTGTGTTAGTGTGTGTGACCTGTGTTTCTCTCTTGTCCAACTGGTCTATCTTCACTTGTTCCTCTGGCAGATATAAATGAGTGCACTGATCAGGACAATGTCTGTGGCCCCGCTGCAAATTGTTCAAACCTGATTGGAAGGTACGAGTGCACCTGCCACTCTGGGTACGTCAACACCACCAGTAGCTCTGGAAGCTGCACAGGTGAGTAGTGTCTACTTATTTGTGTCTACATTTGTCTGCAGTTGATTGGTGCTTTGCTGGAAGTTTGCTGAAATCACGAAACAATGTGTTTAACAGAATCATAGAGATGAAAGCCAGCACGCCTCGACAGGTGGGAGACAAAGACCAGGAAGAGGCTATGACAGCAGGCCTTTCACACTGCTTTTAAGTGTAACCATTAAGGCCTGACACACCAAACTATTGGTTGGCTGTCGGTCAGTATCAGGGTAGTTTTAGTGTGTTCCACACACCATTAGCACCAGTCAGCCCTTGTTGGCTTTTTTAATGGCCAGTACAGCATGTTGAATATGTGTCGGATACAGCGGAGCCTGTCGGTGAACAAAATCATGCTGATTGGCAGTTCAGCTCCGTGGATGAGAAGGGGAACAGAAATGAGGAAAGCAAACAAACAACTGAAGTCAAGAGGACTTGAGAACGAAACAAACATGTTATATTAGGAAATAAAATTTTTCTCAGCCATTGAGCTCTTCAGCAGAAATGTTTCCTGATCATTTGTGCTACTGTTCGCCATTTGTTCTTTCAATTATGTGTTGTGTTGTTAAGGTGCTCACTGGTAACTTGTTTTCTGAATACATCCTGTTGGTCTTCATTTTCTGAATGACGAATACAGACCACTGCCACCTGCTGGCATGGAGAGTTATTTCCTCTCACGCAGATGCAGAATATATGTGCTAATATTGGGTGTTGGCTGTAGTCTTACTGTACGTTCACACCAGAAGCTTTCAAAGAGGCAAAGTCAAGAAGCATGACTGTCAAAAATATTTGTGGCAGCTTTGGTCGATTTAGTCACTCGTCACGTGAATCATTGAACGTTCGATCGTGTAAGTACAAACTACTGGCTTGAAAGCAGCGTACAGGTATATGCTGCTTGCTGTTGTCCAGTCAAAAAGCTCACAGTTGGCCAATAGAAAGTTATGTTTGGTCAATGAAAACAGAAAACGTATGTCAGCCCATTCAAACCAAGCAAAGAAGACTTGCATGCTACGTCGCAACATTAGCCTGCAATTCTCTCCTCTATTACTATCATTACACACTTTAAAACTCACCTGACCAACCAACTACCTCAACATGGTCCCAAGCCTCATTCTTTTTATTTTGTTCTCTCTGTAACCGAACAGCAACACATTAATCAAGACTGAGTGGGAGAGAACGCAGGTAATCAACTTCTTGGTATCCATTGTCGGAAGTGTGCTGTAGGAACCAAAGTTACGTGGCTTGTTCTCTGGGACCTGCTTCATCGAAGCACGTCAGCATTCCGATTGGTTGTCGCCGAACCGTGTCAGAGCTCATTACCATAAAGTTAAACAAGTTTTAACTCCCCTCCGGTGCCACTCCGGTCGCTTTGGTCACCCAAGACGCACGGCTGACGACCAGGTCGCCCAAGTCGCCGAGCTCTCATTGAAAATGAATGACTTCCGCCGTTTTGGAAGCTCTGGTCGCTGTTGGTTTGAACGTACAGTTAGAGGTGTCTTGAAGTGCAGCTTTTTTGGCGAAGACATAGGCGATGTGTGGCGATGCAACAGTCGCTCTTTGTCGCCACTAGTTCTTTGATGCTGGTTTGATGTGTGTGGACCTTTAGACTGAAGACTGAATCCAAATGGAAAAGACAGTGCACTGTCTCCTAAAAGCTGTGAAATTGTCAAAGTTTCCCGGAGCATCTCAGCTACTTGCTGCTATTTGATCTTCAGATGATAACGATGTCTATGTGTCCTCTGTACTCCATTTTAGCTGATTTTTTTGCCCATGCCAGTATGTAACAAGCATACTGAGGCCTTATTGATTATACAACATAGTGTGGAAAGTAGGACACCAGTGTTGCACACACTGGCTCCATATGCATATCTCTTTTATTTAGATGACTTGACCTTCTTTAAGATCAACAATCATGGCTCAAAGAAGGCCTGAGGGCTGAAACTTCATCTAAATAAAGAAGAAGTGGTGCATACAAAGCCAGAGTACGCAACAACTGTTTCTTACTTTCACATCTATAGCCAGTGATCAGCACCTCACTTGGTGAACGTTAAATACAACATAGTGTTAACGGCAACACAAGTAGAGGTGAGTCATTAAGCAAACTGACTTAGTGATATTGATGCCTTTACTAAAGGAAAAAAAAATATTTGTAAGAGGAGGAGAGTGGTTCTCTTTTCCGATTCTTCGATTCATCCTTTGGGAAATCCCGAAGCTTTGCAGTTAAGAACAAAAACAGCAGCTCTAACAACAATTACAGGGTAATTTAACAGGGACATGGGCATGCTTCTCACATAAAAAAAAGATAATAGTTATGAAAGAATGAGGAAATGAATAGCTCCCCTTCACCTTAAGGGACATTTCAGAAACAAAAAACAGCCTGATCTTCAAGAGGTTACACATGCTTTTGTTTCATCATGATATAACCATTGTTACTCCCTGTACTATGATGTAAACTGCAAAGCCATCTCCTGCCTCCTGCCAGTACAAATTGCAGCTCTTAACAACATCTCACAACACCAGCTGCCGGGAAAGTGCAGAACTTGTCTAAGATCCTTTTGCCAACAATGAAAAATATCACGATAAATACCACGACCGTATCACGAGTTACATTGCTGAGAAGTTTCTCCCATATGCAGTACCTGCTATATTCAGATTTGTTTCACACTGGTCTGACTTTGCCCTTGAAGAATGTCAGTAATTACTTACGTCTCTGTTCTCTCTCCTCACACAGACATAGATGAATGCAAGGAGGCTGAAATGCAAAAAGAAGACCTCTGTGGACCAAAAGGGACTTGTGTAAACACCAATGGGAGTTACTGGTGCAGCTGTTCAAAGGGATACACCAGTTACGGCAACAAAAGGACCCCATGTTCAGGTGAGTGTCTGCGTACATGACCACTACTTTCTTTCATTGCCTCGTTTCAAAACCTCTCACTATTCTTGACTAAACATCCCAACACAGATGTCATTGTAGTAGCTCTGGGTATTTTCTGTGTTGACTCATCTGACTGCAGACAACCTGTGGTGTATGTCTCACAGGATAATGGTATGACTTCCTGTCCAGTGCTGCTGCTTTGCAGCGTAGATTTGATCACACTCCTCTGCTTTCAGTGCATAGTGTAGTGAAGAATCACGACTGGTGAGATAATAATCTGATGTTTCATCTCTGTTCCACCTAGAGCTAAAGTGTGACAACTTCAATGGAAACAGCGGGCCTGCACCGGTAAGATGCACATTTAGATTAAAATATTATTATGACTGTATTATGCTATATTAAAGGGTTTATTTTCACACTTGCAGCTCAGAGTGCAGGGACAAGTGTGAGAACATTTCAGTCACTAAACCATCCCGAGGCACTGTAGGGTTAAGTATATGAACTTTAGTATAAGGCAAACTGAATAGTCCTATTATTCTCTTCCTCTTAGTCACTTGAAGGCCTGGCAGACATTTTGTTCATGATGAAAAACAGCTGTTTGGCTCTTTCTAACCCGAGCACCGCTGGTGAAGGGAAGACTGATGGAGAGGCTCTACTGGAGGTCAGACCAGCAGACAGAAAACTCAGACACACTCATTCTCACACATGCAAACACCTACAGTATTCTTAAATTCCCCCTGTTGTTTCCTTCCATGTGGACAGAAACTTTTCACAGCGACTGAGACCATCCTGTCGCCCCGTCACCTGGACAGCGTTGAAGATGTGAGCAGATTGCTTGAAACTGTGGAGAATGCTATTATGCTGATTGGCCCACAGCTCAAAGACAACCATACTAAGCTAGAGACCACTGAGACAGGTAGGGGGAGTTTAATAAACGACAGTGGGGAAAGCAAATGTGAACTGCGTCATTTAAAATGAGCTATGTGTTCAAATAGACGCACAGATTGCAGTGCAGAGGGGGAGGACTCGACCAACTGGCCCTATCCATCTGACCAATGAGAACGCTACACTCGACACTGACTGGACAATAGCAGCTGGGGAAGGACCATACCCTGGTAAACCTCTCTTCTCTTTTGATAAATAAGTCACAGTTTTAATGTTTGTCAGTGAACACTATCATATTTCTTTTTGTCTCTTCCAGGTTTTGCTCTGGCTGCATTGTTGAGCTACAGGAACCTTGAGATATCTGTTAACCAGTCCTTTGATGAGATCACGGGACATGAACGAAATGGAGTGGATCCCTCCCTTCAGATCTCCTCTCGAGTTGTGTCTGTTGTGGTCTCCAACCCATCCACTCAGAACCTGAGCCGCAATGTCAGCATCACCCTCAGACATCTCAAGGTAGTCCCACCATCTGTCCTTCAGTCCTCTCCTCTCAGTGTGGTCAAACTTCTACCAGTGTATTTTTGTGTAGCCACTATAGTCACAACAGTTAGGAACACTGGAATATGAAAATATGAATAAAACACAAAGCCTACTCTTGACACGATGGAATTGTTTTGTGCACATAGGCCCGAGACGAGTCTCCTCAGGTGAGCTACATCTGTGCGTACTGGACTGAGAGCGGGGCCTGGTCCACAGATGGTTGTCATAAACAACAGTCCACCGCCACACACACAGTGTGTATGTGTGAACACCTGAGCAGCTTTGCTGTTCTCATGGCACTCTACCCGATAAAGGTAAGAAACACACACACACACACACACACACACACACATTGGACAACCCCACTAAGAAAGTAGTTTTTGAAACAAACTGTTTCTCTTTGGCAACATTTAAAATAATTTTGGCCTCGTAGCAGAATCATCTGTGTGGAACCTCCTCATGTCCAGTAGTAAAATATATAAATGAACAAAAAATTAGTGAAATAACTGAAAAAATTATTTAAACTCATTATTAAACAGGCTCTATCCAAAATTCGGAGTATATGAGTTGTCTGGACACGGTTCTTAACATGGACATGGCTGCGGATGGACGCTACAAAAGCCCCAGGAACAATGCCAGTCTTTGAAGCCAAATTTAGATTCTTGCTAACTTCGGGGTCCATCACATGAAGCCATTGGGCCCAGAAAGACTCTTTGTGAGTGAGAAATCTGAAAATCAGTGGATACATATTTCTGATGGTCACAATCCCTGCGAAATGACTTGTTTTACTATTAGAATTTGATTCGATAACATTTCTGAAGTCTAGAAGAGCCGCATGATTAAATCATGATATCCCTGTTTAAGTTAGCGGAGCGCTAAACTGGAAGTTAGCTGGCTCGCCCTGTGGAAAATAGCTACTCTTTAATGTAGTTTAATAGATAATTAATAGTATACATGCTCTTTGGGCCCCACAATACAGAAGATCTGGGTAATTTCATACCGTGGAAAATAAGCTTTAATGGCTTTGTGCGCCACTGAGCAGCTTTCATTGGAATTACCTGGGTCTTGCCTCCAGCGCTGTATCTTGCAACAACACCATTCTGATATCATCTGTAACTGCTGAATAAGTGCAGTGCAAAGCAATGCAATGAGCTAGCCAGTGGGCCGAACTGGCTTACCACAACAAACCACAGAGAAGCTCGGATTACAACACACACAAAGGTGACGTTGCTTCATCCTCTGCTCAGGACGCCATTACTCCACCATATCTTTACATAGCAAATAGTGGTTTGCTGCTTTAATAATGCTCTGAATGTCGCATACAGGACCTTTAATGTTTCATCATAAATTTTTATAATAACTCAGTTTATTTGTTTGTTATTATTTCATTATAGACATTTTATTTCAAGTCTGTTTTTATTTCATGATGGCATTTTCCATTATAACATATTCTAAAGCAACAACATTGGCATTATTGTTGCTGTAAACACACACACATTATGTTGTAAATTATAACCTCATACAGTACCTCCAGTTAAACACTTTGGGACCTAACATGTCTTCTCTACTAGCACACCTTTGGGCTCCAGTTGGTGACCAAGATCGGGCTGACCATCTCCCTGCTGTGTCTCATACTGTGCATCATGACGTTCAAGTTCTGCCGCTCCATACAAGGGACCCGCACCACCATCCACCTGCACCTCTGTATCTGCCTCTTCATGGCTGACCTCATCTTTCTGGCTGGCATTTCACGTACTGAACCTGTGGTATGTTCGTGCAAGCAGCTAGTGACTTCAGTCACACGGACTGCAATAATCTGAACATGACCTTGTCTTTAATAAGAAAGTAATTGGATTAAAATGACAGTGGGTCCCACTCATCTTCCTGTTTACATGCAACAAAGCAGAGAGCCCAGTTAATAACTGAAGAGGCTCTCTTCACATCAACATCAGAGCGTTCCTGCAATATTAAACCTCAAGCCCGTCTTCCTGCCACGTTACAGCTGAGTCCCCTTGTGGTTATCTTGAGGCGAAAAAGGGGGAAAACTCTGCTTCGAGACTTTTTCAGAGACAGTACTCTTGAGAAGGCTGACAGTGGAGTGGAAAATCCCAAAATGACCAAAAAGGAAGTTTGTTTGTTCTCACATACTTGTAGAGAGCGACATTGTAATACCTATATTATAATCTCTGGTGCAAAATATCTCTATTGAAGTACAGTTTTGGGGAACTTATACTTTCCATTTTATGCAACCTTACATGGTACTCCACAGTATTTCAGCTTGAACTCATTTTTACTCAACCACAGTAATTTGAAAGCTATAGCTATTACAGTAATCACACATAACCAGTTCGTGTTACAGTTTTATAGATGAAGCCATCCAACAGTATATGAAGTAGTTAAATTTAGCACCACATCGACATGCAACAATATTAAATTGATGATCAAACAAAAATGAATTATTGGTAATGATGCAATCATATTATATATGTTTAATGATGTAGGTTTTGAAAGGGCTGAAATTAGTACTTTTACATGTGAGTGGTATTCCTTCTTAAAGGGTCAGTTCAACCCCAAATCAAAATTACATATTTTTCCTCTCACCTGTAGTGCTATTTATCAATCTAAATTATTTTGGTGTGAGTTGATGAGTGTTATATCAGCTGTATAAGTATAATGGACCTAGATAGCACCTGGTGGTGATCAAAGTGCCAAAAAATACACTTGAAAACCTCTTTCCAGAAGTCATGGCCTGGTTACTAGGATAACCCATAGTCCTTGCTGTGAACAGTTTAATGTAGAAATGATTTTCTTTCCACCAAACTACACAAACCAATCATATCACCATGCAGAAGGAAGTGTGCATCTACCCTTAACTCACCTGGCATCACAAAGCTAGCTAAGGGTGCCTTCAGACCTATGGTGTGTCTCAAATCACATTTCCGTTAGTACACTTCTATGTTGTATACTAAGTGCACTATGTACTCATTGGAGTAGTGCGCAAATTTCGACAAGGTAGTGTTGTCTCAAACCAAACACGGCTGTTGTGCACTCACCGGAAATGATGACCTCAAATTAGCTAGTTAGCAAACTAGCATTAGCATTCGCGTTATCGTTGGCGGTACCAAATCATTACAGACTGCTAAACTAACCCAATAAACATACTGCTGGCTTATACCCAACAACAGTGTAGTGGTGCTCAGTGCAAAACACATGTATTTGTACAATGCAGCGACGTTCACAGTCACACAGTCCTCGGCCGCCATTTACAGTTTGAAAAGTGGTCCCTCCCATTCTGCTACGTAGCCAAGATGGTGACCATTGAGGACGAGAAGTGTCCATAGTTCCACACTCAACTTCTTGACCGTTTTGAGTGCACCATGCCGTAGTGCACTGCATTTTTCCATACTTCTCAGTGTGAACGCACTATGCACTCAAAATATTAAGTGTAAGTACAGAAGTATGTGATTTGAGACACAGCACTAGACTTTGCTTGCTTTGGTCCGAGTCAGGGACTTATTTTGTTACAAAGTTGCACAATTGCCTAGAGTTGGTTCGTGTTCTCACGGCATCATTTACAAGTGGACCAGATAAAATGCCTTGAGTGAGAAAGCTGCTCTTGATTGGTCAGAATTTCCATGCGGGACAAATCCAGGGAGTAAACAAAACATTGAAGAGTACACTTGTAAGGTAAATGTGACACTTTCTAATGTCACAACAATGGAGGGACAACTACGCGGTTTGATTTTAGTGCTGGTCATCATGTACAGTATTGCTGTCATTGTTCATTTTAGGTAAACCATACAGTTTGAAAACGAGGTGCGGCTCCAACGAGAAAGTACAATGTTTTGATGTACAGTGATACAGTTGGCAGGTGTAGTTTGGTCGAAAGAAAATAATTCCTACATGAAACTGCTCACAACAAGGTTATCTTGAGTAACTGGGTCATGATTTCTGGAAAGAGACACTGCTTTTGAGTTTTTCAAATGTTTTTTCTGGGTGCTTTGATCACCACAAGCCAAGTGCCGTCTAGTTTCATTATATTCAAGAGACTGGCTGCTATCTCCAACACTGCAACTCACACAAAAACAATTTAGACTGATAATTAACACTGCAGCTAAGAGGAAAAAACATATTTATCATTTTAGTGACTGACTGTAATCTAATGGAGCTCATGAACATCAAAAAGAACTTGAACATTTCCTATTCATAGTATTGCCTTTATCAGATTACTGCTGTGAGACATTTCATTCCTCCACTCCCTCCTCTCTGATTTTGTCTCTCTTTGTGTTGTCATGTTATGTTATTACAGGGCGGCTGCAGGTTTGTTGCAGGGCTGCTACACTTCTTCTTCTTGGGGGTGTTTGCCTGGATGTTGTTAGAAGGGGTTCAGCTGTACCGCATGGTGGTCCTGGTGTTCAACGCCACCATTCGACCCCTCTACTTATACATCGCTGGTTATGGGACACCACTTGTTATCGTCATTATATCTGCCATCTCTAGACCAGATGGATACGGCACTGACCAGTAGTAAGTGTTACACGATGTGTGTTTGCATACTTGATGTGTGATAGCGATTACAACAGTGCATTACACAGACCTGCTGTTATCTGTCTCGATGACATCAGGAAAAACCCTGTCATGCACATGTGTTTCCTCCCTCCTAACTAGCTGCTGGCTGTCCCTGGAAGACGGCCTCATCTGGAGTTTCTTCGGCCCTGTGTGCTTCATCATCATCATCAACGTCTTCTTCTTCATCGTCACCGTCTGGAGGCTTGCCCAGAAGTTCACCAGCCTCAACCCAGACCTCTCCAAACTGCACAAAATTAAGTCAGTCTGTGTGTTTGTTTGCTTGTGGCTTTTTTGTGTGTGTCCGCTCCTGCTGTTGTAATGTGTTCTGTAATGTGACCCTCACTTGTTCCACTGCGCATGTCCGCACCATATGTCGGCTAAATGGAGCAGCTTGGGGAACTGAAAAATGCACGGATGGAAAGAATGTGACAGTTTTATGGGGGGAAAAATGTAGCCAGTGTTTTCATAGTACCAGCTCTGCTTTCTAATGCTACTGAAAGGCTCCTACCTTCATCTGTGCATGCTCATTTTTTACTCCATTCAATGCATTTGTAGACACCACTGTATAAACATGTGCAGCTGCAGAATACATCTTGCCTTTGATTAAAAAAAATCCATCCTTGGATAAACTGGTTCATTAATCAGTGCTGTTCAGTTTAGCCCAGGGAATTGGGAATGTGAAGCGCTTGTGCTAAAATAAAGGGAGTATTTTTTCAGGTAGGAAAAACTCAGACAGCATTAGATTATATTTAAAAAAATTCTGTCAGTGGAAAATGTGGTACACTATCCAAATTTTAGATGAATTTCTCTGGTCCTAAGGGACTTAGATTAAAACCTGGTGTCCTAGATGATTAAACTTTTATATGCTATTAATCTCCTCTGTATGTTAATGAGAATGATATTGATTAGTAGGAATAAGAGGAATTAATCACCAAATACTTCAAGGGGCCCATGCCCCAAGAGTCCATTGCTGCGTATTTTTAAAGCAGTGCTTCTGAGCGTGGATTTTCCCCTTAAGCTTATCTTCTCTATTCATCAGTTCTCTTTGGTTTCTCTTCTTCCACCGTCTCTCAATAGACAGTTAACAGCTGCTTTGCTTTGCACCAATCCCCCCTTTACTATGCTTTTCCGCTCTTCAGGGATTTTCCAGATACTGGAGTGGTATCTGACTCATCCATGTCATGTTAATCTTTCCTTTCATTCTCTATCTGTTGTCTTTTCTCTGACCCATTACCACCCTCTTCCATCCTTCTGTTTTGTCTGCAGAGCTTTCACAGTGACAGCTATCGCCCAGATTTGCATACTGGGTCTGATGTGGATGTTCGGAGCCTTCATGTTTGAAGATGACAGCATAGTAGTGGCATATATCTTCACTATCCTCAACAGCCTGCAGGGAGCACTGGTCTTCATCATGCACTGCCTACTGTCCAAACAGGTAGGATATGACAGGTGTGTGTGTGTGTGTGTGTGTGTGTGTGTGTGTGTGTGTGTGTGTGTGTGTGTAACCAGGTCTGTATGCATGAGGCTGAGAAAGAGATAAGATAAAAGTATAAAAAAAAGAAACATGAGAAAGTGTAAGAGGAATCTGAGCAGTGGATTTTTGCCTGATGTTCTGCTGCCCCCTGCAGGTCAGAGAGGAGTACGCCCATTTCCTCTCCTGTATCTGCACACCACAGAAGAAGAGATACTCGGACTTCAGCAGCACAAATCCCTCCAGCAGTCAGTCACAAGTAAGCATCAAGTGACATCACTCACTGTCACTCTCTCTCACACACACATACACTAAACTGCTGTTAGCCTACTTAAGTACAACTTTGGCTGACACATAGAGACACACAACCATTCACACTCACATTCACACCTACAGCCAATTTAGAGTCACCAGTTAACCTGCATGTCTTTGGACTGTGGGAGGAAGCCGGAGTACCCAGAGTAAACCCATGCTGACAGGGAGAACATAAAAACTCCACACAGAAGGGGATCTCTCACCCTGGGTTTGAAGCAGGAACCCTTTTGCTGTGAGGTGACAGAAGCCCCTTTCACACTGCCAGATTTTCGGCGAATGTTGGGCCGTTTTGCCAGCAAGCTGCAAGCGTTTAGACACACAGAGCCGGATTGGCGAGTTGATCCGAGATGCCCAATTTTCCGCCTCGTAGGGTAGTCATATTGGCGGAACCCTTTTAGTTTAAAAAGACCGAGGCAGCCTTCCGCAACAGGAGGGGCTATTGAAGACTTGTGGGAGGGGCTGTTGATGACACCGCAAGTGCGAGCCACTGGCGGTGGATAAACAGGAAACAGCTGATAGCAGGAATGAGCAGCTAGTAGTAAGAGGGAAACACAAACCTGACAGACACTGTAAAGATGAGCCACTGGGGAGACAAGGAATTGTGTGCCCTCCTTGCCCTTGCAAACAAAGAGGCCATTAACCGTCAGATGACAGGGACGGTGAAGAACGGGCCGACTTACAAGAGAATTGCCAAAGGACTGACTAGCTGTCCCACTTCACTGTTTACGTTGCACGCTGAGCTACACGTTTTGTTACTTGCTCATGCCCCCCATTGCCCCAAAAAAGGCGCATTCTGTATAAACTAAAGTAGGCGGCATTTTGCCGCACTCCACGATTTTGTTTTTATACTGCCAATGCTGAACGAAGACTGATTGGGCTTTCCTGCAAATTTGTACAATTCCTGTTTAAAAGGGCTAATGCCCACAGCACCACTGTGCTGCTACAAAAATAGCAGGCAAAGTGCCAAAAAAAATAAAAAATGCATGTTAGTAGTCAACAATTCCTGCATAGCATACCTTTAACTACATTTTGTTGACAATACTTAATAATGTTAACTTAAGTATACTTTTTAATGCCTGACTTTTCCTAATTATAGAATATTTTTACATTGTGATACTGCTGCTTTATGTTAATAAAATTGTACCTCTCCCATTGCTGCAGACACATAACATTATGTCGTCAAACATTTTTTCTGACATTGTGCTGTTTGTCTTCATTCAGGGTTCTCGGAGTGGACACCACACCGGAGAATCCCAAATATAAAGTAATATCTTTTATCCTCCCCCAAAGACAAACTATCCCACCTTTAAGCTTTCTGGGCTGAGTAAGGTCTGATTTTAAAGGTTTGGATGACTTCAAATAAAAATTCAGTCATTATTAACTCACCTCGATGTCAGTTGAAAAAAGTAATCAGGGGCCCTCCAAAAGGTCACACGATAAATCCGAGATGTCTCATGTGACATTTAACAAGAGAGAGAGAAGTTAATGGGACCAAACTAAAAAACTCCACTAATCTGAGTAGCATCATCTGCCAGTGAATTGCATTATGGGTCAGAGAGTCTACCATTTACCACTGTTTGCTTATTCCCCTCACTGTTGTTGCTCAACAGTGATCTAATGATTGATCAAGTTGTGTTGATGATGACTGAATTTTTGTTTTAGTGTGTAATTATTGTCACAGCAGGCAAGAAGTAGCCAACTTCTAAAGTGTTTATTCAGGAACTCTTTAAGTGAAAGTTAAGGTGTTTCTTATTGGTTCTTCCAAAACATATCACAATATAAGCTGTATTGCCTTCAGAGGGATTTAAAGTAAAATACTGACATAGACTATTTATTTTCAAGTGCAGACTATAAAGTCTATTTTATGTAGGCTACAAGAAAATATGAGTGATGCTCTTTATGTTTAAAGCATGAGCAGACAGTTTGCGCTGTATTTTATATAAATGTTTTATGTAAAAATAAGGGTGAGGGTGCTTTTTGTTACAGGGCTCCTCACAGAAAATATTTGTGTCCATGTACTGTGTTTAACAGTATGATAAAGAAACAGCTTGCTGAGCATGCAAATGACTGACGGAGTGCCTCTGACGTTCCCTTTATGTCCAGGCAAATCCCATGTGGGCTCTTGGAAGGATTTTGCATCTGTTGTTTCTCAAGTTTAAACAAAATAAGTGTTTTTTTAATCACTTGTGGCTAATCTTAAAGAATCTTTCTCGATTTACAGCTGAGCTGTGCTTTCTGTCACCGATGTATGAGAAGATATATTACTTCTTTTGAATTAGCAAACAGGAAAACAAATCAAGCCCAAAATAGTTTCTTGGGAAATTCACAGAAAGAGGCCCACCCTTCTGATAAGCCCTCAGTTTCCTGTAATCAAATTGTGTTTATGGAATAAAATTCCATTTCGGTGTCATGTGTTTTTTTTATTACAGTAGTTATTCCTCCAAACATTGTCAGTGACTGTAAGGTATCAAATCCCTGAAATGAGAACTATTCAGTCATTTTGATGAGGTCTGATGGGAGCTGTACAGACATGAGTTTATGTTATTGCACTTTTCTGTTGTAAAAATGATAATCCAGCACATCGTAGTTCACATGGTGCATGTGATAATCAAGAAAACTTGAGAACCAGCCTCGCTTAAAGGACCTGAACAGTTTACTTGTTGTAATAAAGCTATCAATTATACATTTTTAATTGTTATAAAAAATGATCAGAGACTTTGATCTGCAGAGAAAAAAGAAGCTGTGCTAGAATCCAAGTCAGTCTTTTAATGTGATGAAGACCTCATGTGTGTGGGTTTCAATAGCTAAACTGTTTGTAGGTTCTTACGTGTGGCTGCACTGTTTTGTGACCATCGATACCTTTAATTCATGCATTGCAAAATGTATTTTTATGTGAAAAAGCTATGCACATTTTGCAGCATCTGTGAATGTGAGGTTCTTGTTAGAATATACTATAGGCGTTACAGTTTGAAGGTATATGAACTTATTTTTCTACTTTGTTTTGTTGTATGTTGTTTGGTACTGTTTTCTTTGAAGACTATGCACCGCGAGATTTATTAAAGCTTCTACTTCATCTGAACAATCTGTTAAGTGTGTGGTTTGTCAGCATTATTCCAGACAGACAGGTAGATAAACAGATACATAGACAGATAGGTAGGTGTGTATGTAAGTAGATAGTTAGACAGACAGACAGACAGACAGATATTGGTTTGGATCGGTCTGGGGGTTGATCGAGACAGACAGACAGACAGGTAGGTAGGTAGGTAGGTAGGTAGATAGATAGATAAAGAGATAGATAGATAAATTAGTCGGTTGGTAGACAGACAGACAGGTAGGTAGGTAAGTAGGTAGGTGTGTATGTAAGTAGATAGTTAGACAGACGGACAGACAGACAGACAGACAGATATTGGTTTGGATCGGTCTGCCGGTTGGTCGAGACAGACAGACAGACAGACAGACAGACAGACAGGTAGATAGATAGATAGATAGATAGATAGATAGATAGATAGATAGATAGATAGATAGATAGATAGATAGATTGGTCGGTTGGTAGATAGACGGACGGACAGACAGACAGGTAGGTAGATAGATAGATGATAGAAAGACAGATTGACAGATAGGTAGACAGATACACACACACACACACACACACACACACACACACACACACAGATATATTGATAGATAGATTTTCCTCCAGTAGGCAGATTAAATTGGTCAGCATGAGTCACACTACCTTAAGAATATAAGCCTAAAATTTGTCAGTATGTTTGTAAGTTGTGAAATTGCTCGCCCGCATGCATCAAGGTAATAAACAACCAAGGGCCATTCTTAAGAACTCATTGCCAGGAAGATCACGCAAATTACCATCCATTCGATACTTCTGTGGTGGAAAGTTACAGTACAGGGTATAATTAACTGTGGCACTTAAAAAGACATTACAAAATGTTTGTTTGAATAGCATTTGCAATGCTAAGTGTAGCACAAATAAAGTTAGCAAAGGAACTCATTATTGTCCATTACACAGAAGAAATTCTCTCTTCAGTTTGCTAACATTAGCTACAGTAAGAGTCAGGCTGTAGCATCAAACTCTCTGATGATAAAATGTAATGTAATGTGGGACATCAGGTTAAATGGGACAAATAAGATTTTATATCCTGGGCTCTTTGATATTAGCAGCCAGTCACTGAGATGTTATTGATTGTCACTATTTGCCTTACATGAAACAATCATTAGTCTGAGACAAATTGTATGGGCAGAGCAAAGAGTCTCAGAACTTGGAAGAGGAGCCATGCGCCATGTTGCTTTCTCTTTTTTGGTAATCGGAGTACTGCAGCTGAAATAATAAGGGTATGACAACAAAAATGATTCTATGATTGATGTTGCATTTTATTAACTGTTTGATTTATAATCAAAATATTTTCACAATACATTTTTTAAAATCAAACCAGCATGTTATAAGGCTTCCAGGTGCCATAAAATCACGAGTTATGAGATTGTGTGCCATCTTATAATATTACAGATATTTTTAGCATTTTTAGCATCACTTAGAAAACATTTAAGATGATGCAGTGAGTCCATGTCAGCCACAATAGTCCAGAATAAGCCATAATTGTTACACAAACAAACACAAGCACACACATGTCCGGTGTAGACATTATGGCACCAAGGAAACAGACAGCAAAAGTGCAGGGGAAGCACAGCAGAAAAGCTTAGTTACACTGATGATTTACTGAATTCATGACTGAATAGATACATGGATTTAAGTGGATAAAAGGATTTTTTGAGTCTTATTTTGAAGGTAACACTGTCTAAAACAGCCTATCAACACCACTAACAGGTCTAAATGAGCATTCATTAATATGATCTAGCACAAGATGGTTGGTCAGCAGTGCTATTTATGATGTGAGTTGGTGGTGAAAGCAAATTAATCTGTCATTGTTAGTGTCTCTGTTTCCCTCTGAGACTTTTACATTTTTTGGATTTGGAGTCCATAGTTAGTCACGCAAGGAAGATTCAAGACTAGTCACTGCTACTGAGGTTCATTTAGAGATGACCTCAGCAATATTTAGAGGAAAAGGTGCCAGGCCATAGAGGTAACTGACAAAATGTTAAAAACTTGTCAATGTCAAACATATCAAGTTCTGCCTGTTACATGCATTGTCTTCTTTCAAAATACACTGTTTTCACAGGGAAATTTAACATTTACATACAGTCTCTTTCAAAATAAACACACTAGTCAGTACAGCAACACAAACTGATGATTTTTTCCCCCTTCAACAACTAATACACAGTAGGCAACAAAAACGTGTGGCTAGGTTTAGGTAACAATTTTAGGCAACAAAAACACATGTTTAGGTTTAGGAGAAAAGAACAGGATTTGGCTTTAGAATCTTAAGGGACGTGAACATTGCTCTCTCGGGTGAAATTCATGGTTTGTTGGACCCATAAACCACCCCTCCCACCCGCCCAACTTAAACTTTCCCCACCTTAACTTTCATGTTTCCCCCTGACACGGCCACGTGCCATTAAACTATAAAGGCAACCAGCCATATCACGACGACATTAAAGGACACCTTTTTGCGTTGGTTTCTGACACCACAAGTTCCATGTCCAAGCGCCGGATTTCCACGACTTCAGAGTGAGATGAGGCTTGTATAGACTACACATTTTTACAATTAAAGAATGTAAAAATTTCCTTTGGCCATCAGCAATAATAAATGAAAATTAAAATATTTTCATTTCCATGGTATTCGTTGTTTAAAGCCATGGGGAGCCACTGGAGAGATGTGGTTCAGTATCCTTAGGTTGCCAACCCCTGCTTTAGGGGATTGGTCACAGAATTTGGTGTAACAGTTACTTTACAAATCTGAACTGCTAACAGTTTGCTAACTGCTCTAAAATTCTGCCACTGTCATTATCCAATAATATAACTGTCAGTTGGCTTTAACCTTTGACACACTTTGCTGATAAAACTTTTTGATTTGATGCAGTTTTTTTAGACTACCTCTATTTTCCATTATACTTCAAAAAATGCAACACATGCCATTTACGATACGTGTCAGGAATCTTACTCATGAAACGATCAGTTCATTCCACGTTAAATCAGACATGTGTGATTGAAAAATCTGACTCTACGTGACATGTTTACACCCGAGGGTGCTGAATCACTCCGCAGGGAGCAGCGCTGCAGTGACGCAAGGGTTTATAAGTTATAACCTGCGCTGCTCTCTGCTCCAGTAAGTACGTGCTGCTGCTCACTACATGTTACACATCTGACTTATGACAACTCCTCTGCGCTGCTGTGGCTCCACCGAAAACTCAAGTTTACTTAGCCTATAGCCTACACCTCTGGACTTGTGGCGGAGCGCCTGGCTGCTGTCAACTCCTTTCTTTATTTCTTCGTGGAACAGGATTGAAATTCTCGGACAGGTAAGCTTCCTTTCACCTAACAATGACTTTGTGTTTAATATAGAAGCCTATTTACACCAGTGTGATGAAAAAATATCCTGTTAGGCATTATAATGAGAATCTTTCTAAAAATGATAATTTAGTGTCTCGAAATGATTAGAGACTTTATCAAAAGATGATTTAGTATCACAAAATGCTTAGAAACTTTGTCAAGATAATGATTTAGTGTCTCAAAATGATTAATAAATCTCAAAATGATGATTTAGTGTCTCATAATGATTAGAAACTTTCTCAAAATGATGATTTAGTGTCTCAAAATGATTAGAAATTGTCTCAAAATGTTGATTTAGTGTTTCAAAAATAATTAGAAACATTCTCAAAAAACAACAACAATATTTTAGTATATTTTTCATTATTTTGAGATATTAAGCGATTATTTCAAGAAATGTTTCCATTATAATGACTTCTGGATCTTTCTTTTCCATCACACTGGTGGAAATGGGCTTCCCAGCATGCTGATTGTTGTTATCCATGAAGTCACCATTTGTATACCCTCAGGTATTACTATGCATCTGATGAGTGGTGTTACCATGTGCCTGGGTGTGTTTGGGGCCATCAGACTGCTCTCCCTCCCCTGGCTCTGCAGTTTGTTGGCAGGGCTGGGGTTCTGCGTGGTGTGGAGGGGCTCCTGGAAGTTCATACATGTCGCTCTATGCACCATCAAAAGAGACCTAATGTAAGGAGTTTGTGTGAATGTGCATGAGTGTGTGTGTTTGTCATATCTGATATTTATTTATTTTCCAAGCTGCCTACTCCAGTTCTATTTCTCACTTTCTTTCATTACTCCTTTTTCTACTTCTCTGTACCTAAAAGGTGTCTATTTGTCATCCTGCGAGTGAGGTTTTCCATGTACCGTAATTTGCGAAATAGAAGCACCATCCCTGCCCTGTTTGCCCAGACGGTGAGGCTGCATCCAGACAAACCTGCTTTGATCTACGAGGCTACTGGAGAGGTGAGGACTCCTCTTAGATTACAAATGAATGCAACTTCAGCTGTGACACTGATATGGATATCAAACAGAATCACAGAGCCCATTGTCAGATGTATTGTTGTCAAAAATTACTGCATTTCCATTTTCATTTTGTGCCAGGTTTGGAGTTTCAGGGAGCTGCAGGAGCAGTGCCATGCCGTGGCACACTGGGCGCTGGCACAGGGATGGGCTGAGGGAGATGTGGTGGCCTTGTACATGGAAAGCCAGCCTTTAGTGGTGGCTCTCTGGTTGGGTCTGGCTATGGTCGGCGTGGAGGCGGCACTCATCAACCACAACCTTCGACAGCACTCGCTGCTGCACTGTGTTGGCATATCTGGTGCTCGGGCAATGGTTTTCGGGACAGAGATGAGAAAAGGTAGGAGCATGTTGTATCAATAACAGTTACGAAGCTGTAGATCCAAGATTTTTAGACTTAAAGGTGATGTTTCATTGTCTCCCAGCGGTGTCAGAGGTGAGTGGCTCTTTGCAGCCCCACATGGTTTTGTTCAGCAGTGGAGAGCAGGGCGACGAAGAGGAGCTTCCCAACCTCCAGGTTCAGAGCCTGAACGCCCTGTTGGACCGTTCGCCCAAACACCCGACACGCTACACACTCACGAAGGATTTCAATGGTGAGGCTCTGCTGAGTGTTTGTGCATGGGGCCAACAGATGTTGCCATATTATGTCCTATGTTACATATTCCAAATTTTTTGATTGCAACACCTTCGTTTCCTTAGCAAGTCTTTGCCTGCCAGAGGGAACTGCTTACTACCTGATTTCACTCGCTCTGTTTTTTTTAAATACACACATACACACGACTGTCAAACAAATCATCAGCTCATGTCAGAAATAGTGGATGTCATGCAACAATGAATTGCATGTAGACAGATAGTCTGTACAATATATTTAAATGTCTCTGTCACTTTTGAGTTAGTGGGTGATATATTCGTAAACTTACTTTTGTCTTATTGATTTGCTTATCTGTATTGTTTATCACCCTGTTATCACATGACATTCCTAAGTTCATACTTTTCAAGTCTTTGCTTGCACAGCCTGTCAGACATACAGAGGATACAAGAGGAGAGACAGAAATATGTTAAGGAATGATGGGGGGAGCAGGGTGCATACCACACATGTGAAAAACACTGGCAAATGAACAAAAAACAAGAAAGGTTGCACTGAACATTCCCCAGCCCCTAACAACTCACTTTTGTTTTCCTGTCATTTCATCTCTCCTCGCAGACAGACTTTTCTACATCTACACTTCTGGTACAACAGGAATGCCGAAGGCAGCTGTGGTGGTGCACAGTCGGTGAGTTTATCTGTGATCTTATCTGAACTGATGTCAAGTTTATGGGGGGAATTAAAATAAAAAAGATCTAGATAAGGGACACTTGCAGTAACAAGTTGTAGGAAACGCTGCAGTAGCTACAACTCTGCCTAATTGCATCAACTCTGATGATCTGCCCACACACATCTGACTGTTTTTACATCCATGTATCTCATTTGTCATTGTCAAGTTAGTAACTCTTTGTCACAATACTGACATCAAAAAACACATTCTCTGTGCCTTGGCCAAAATGTTGCACTTGAACACACCGCAAAGACTACAACCAGTGGCCAGCTAGCACCTGCGTTCTGTGCCTATGTTAGAGACAATAACCCTCCATACCAGCAGGTGGTGGAAGTCTGTATTCGTCATTCAGGAAACAGGAAGATGAATTGAAAAGGCTAGTCAGCCAGTTAGCACTTTAATAACACAACCCGAAGTTGAAAGCACAAATGATATTTACCATGTGCTAGCGAACAGTAACACAATTACGGGCAGTTTCTGCTACAGAGCTCAATGGCTAATGGCGTCTGTTTCCATCTCACGCCCTCTCGACTTTAGCTGTTTGTTTACTTTCCTCACTTCTGTTTCTCTTCTCGTGCACTGAGCTGAACTGCCAATCAGAGGGATTTCCTTACTAATGGACTTAGCGTCTCCAATGGCAATTCAAAATGCTGAATTGGCCGAAAAACCACAGACAATGGCTTACGTGTCCCCACGGTGCAGGACACAATGTGAAAACTAGAAAGACATATGCAGACTGATGCCCAGACTTGGACCAACAGCTGGCAGTCAGCCTCGTGTGTCGGGGCAGTTACACTAAAATTTACCCATGAAGGATCATTAAAAACCTTTAAACTGTTGGCAGTTGAATCACCACAAGCGTTTCAATTAAAAAGAGGACCATAAGGATCTCTGGTCAGTGTGTTTGATGAGCTGAAGTCTGGTGATGATGGATGCCAGTCACTTTATTCCATCTCTCTTGTCAGGTATTATCGCATCGCTGCCTTTGGTTTCCACTCCTTTGGCTTGCGTCATGATGACATCATCTACAACTGCCTTCCCCTGTATCATTCTGCAGGTAGGCCTAACTCAGTTTGCTCTCTTCCAGCTGTAATCTATTTTTTCCTGTCTGTACTGCTGTCATATTGTTGTATATTCAGCTCACTCCCCACATTGTATCACTGTGTCTATTTTAAAAGCTCAATTTAAAAAAAGACTGTACAAGACGAAACAGTGTCATAACTCCACCCTCATCCCACATGACATGTTTCAAACTATAATACCGTACCAATTATACCATGATGCTACTATAATGATCATAATCATACTTAATAACTTTACAGCCACAGTTCAGAAGATGTAACACTATTACTGAAAACATCACCACACCCATCACCAGTAAATCGTAATCTTTGCTGTACTTGTGTATCTGTGTGCCAGGATCCTCCAATAAATTTTTAAGTATTCCCTTCTGAGTGAACCAGACTAGTAGCTGGTTTCCAAGTTCTTGGACTGTATCTGTATGCCCTTTATGATGTAATCTATCTAATTTACGGATGTCTTATTCTGGTGTATTTTCCCTCTATTGACTTAGACCAATTGTTATGTCTAAGTAGCATACTGAAAATATCTTAGCAGAATCTGTTAAGCTGTGGGGGACAGAGAATAGGTTGACTGTTATCATTATGTCTGTCTTTGTATGTGTATAATCGCTGCATGCATGTGATCATGTGAATGTTGTACAGGTACCATCATGGGTTTAGGCCAGTGTCTACTCTTTGGTTTGACTGTTGTAGTCAGAAGGAAGTTCTCAGCCAGCCGCTTCTGGGATGACTGTGTCAAATACAACTGCACTGTGAGTACACCCTGCCACTAAATTCAGCTACCAATGAGGACTTCTCTCAAACCAAAACTGACTGATCTCTTTATTTGTCCAGGTAATTCAATACATAGGTGAGATTTGTCGTTATCTGTTGGCCCAGCCGGTCCGTTCATCTGAGGCACAGCACCGGGTGCGTCTTGCCCTTGGTAACGGCCTCCGTCCTTCTGTGTGGGAAGAGTTTGTCCAGAGGTTCAGAATCCGACACGTCGGGGAATTTTACGGCGCCACAGAGTGCAACTGCAGCCTGCTCAACATCGACGGAAAGGTGTGTGTTGTTTTTTAATGACTTCGAGGTAAAGTGAAGGATTCTACAAAGTGCGTCCTGTCTCATGTACTTGTCTTATATGCCCAGGTGGGGGCGTGTGGCTTCAACAGTCGCATCTTGCCCAGTTTTTACCCCATCAGACTGGTCAAGGTGCAGGAGGAGAACGGAGAGCTGCTCAGGGATTCACAGGGACTCTGTATACCCTGTCTGCCTGGTGAGAACACACACACACCCCCACACACACACACACACACACACACACACACACACAAAGCCATAACAGAATAAGAGTGTTACAAATGTACCAAAATGTCCTCTTCTCTCTTCTCCCTCCTCTCTCTGTCTCTGCAGGTGAGCCAGGCATGCTAGTGGGACGCATCAACCACTCTGATCCACTCAGGAGATTTGACGGCTACGCTGACAGGGATTCCACCAGTCGTAAAATTGCTCAAAATGTCTTCAAGATGGGGGACTCTGCTTATGTCTCAGGTGTGTTTCATTGTGTCTCTTTAGAATACAGTCAGAATAATGATGATCAACTGTCTGTGCTCATACACGCTCCCGCCCACTGTCTGAACACATGCTGTATAACACAGCTGGATCGAAGACTTTAAATTAAAATGTGAACATCAGTGAATCACTGTCTGTGATGACACAATGGGAACCTGTCCATTGTGTTTCCCGTCTTCCACTCGGCGCATGCTGGTATATGTTCCAGCTCTTTATGAGTGAAAAAAAAAAGATGATTAATAGACACGAATGAACCTGAAACCCCACAAACATACAACAGAAATATAGAAGACAGCAACACATACAAAAACTTATGGACACACAGTGTGGACGGATGGATTCCTGAACAAGGCCCAGGGGCTTAAAATGTCAGGGGCTCCCCTGGCCTAAACCTGCAAAATGTTATTTAGAGAGACATGTAGCGACCAGAAGGACACTCAAAATCACCACAAAGAAACACAAAAACATCCAGAAAGCTGCAAAGAGACACTAAGAGACCCACAAGGACTACGGAAAGGGGCAAAACCTACCACAGAGACACACAAAATGACCACAGAGAGATGCAAAATGACTACAAGAAAGGGCAAAACAATCACACACGAATAATACCCGCAAAAAAGATCAAAACAATTACAAAATAACACAGAACAACTACAAAAAGACACAAGAAGATGCAAATCAAAAACAAAAAGAGGCTTTACAGCTATAAAGTCGGTGTGTGCTCCTCCGATGTTGTCTTTCAATCTGCCCATGATAGGAGACATTACGTCTCAAGAGTCATCGTAAGAAATCTTTAATCAAGTCCATAATTGCCACATTTACAAACAACACAGTGAAGCAGTGAATCATCATCACATCATATTAAAGTCAAAACTGTAGTGGTGAGTCATCATCACTACAGACTTCTGCTTCTGCCTCTTTCTCTCTGTGATCGCCTCTGGGATGATGATGATGATTATTGTTATTATTTATGTATCTATTTGTTTCTCTCCCTGTCTGTGTCCCAGGTGACATTCTGGTGATGGATGAATATGGCTACATGTATTTCAGGGACCGCAGTGGCGACACGTTTCGTTGGCGAGGGGAGAATGTCTCCACAACAGAGGTGGAGGGAGTCCTCAGCCGCCTGCTGGGACACACTGTTGTAGCTGTCTACGGAGTTTCTGTACCAGGTAGAGATGAAACAGTCAGGACGGGGAAAAACTAACAAAGCCACGTTAATTAAAGACAAACGATTAAAGGCTTAATGTGGCTGTTACATCATATAGTCTCCTGTTCATTACCTCACCTGTCTGTCTGTCTGTCTGTCTGTGTGCAGGTGTGGAGGGGAAGGCCGGTATGGCTGCAATAGCTCACACAGAAGGCCAGTTTGACCTCGAGGCATTCTTGATCGCTGTACAGAAAGCCCTGCCTTCCTACGCACGCCCCATGTTTCTGCGACTCATGCCATCTGTTGACACTACAGGTGAGACAGTCATGCAAGGTCATGCGAATACACACACATTCAAAAAGTCGCAAATTAATTTAATTTTTGCCTTCTGTCCTCAGGTACCTTCAAAATCCAGAAGACACGGCTGCAGAGGGAAGGATACCAGCCACAAGACTCAGACGACGAGATTTATTTTCTGAACAGTCGTGCTGGGCGTTACGAGGCAGTTACTGATGAACTATATAATGCCATCATGGAGGGGAAAGTGCGCCTATGAGACAGGAGGAGGCTGAGAAGATACAGACTTTTGAAGAGGATAGTGTGTATATTTCAAAGGGGAAAGAGAGAGAGAGAAAAACCACAGGGATGTTTCTCTAGAGGGCAAATACATCTCTACATACTGACGTGGAAATACCATTGTGTTGCTGTTTTTTGCAATAAAACTCATCTATTTTTTTAACCGAATTACTGTATTTTTTCTCACACTGTACAGTATCTTACACTTGGCAACATGTCCTCATACAACAATTATTATATCTTATAAAATGCTCATATGATGGTTCGTATATCTAATAAATTAGTGCTCCACAAACAGTGCGCTTTATGTAAAGTTACACGGGTTAGATTTAGGCAAGTAACGTAACTTTGGTAAGATTTTAAAAAAAGGAACATGGTGACAGCCTTAAAAGTTCTCTCCTTAGGGAAAGTCCTGTGTTGTCTGACCCTTCCGCCACCCTGGCTTGAATCCTTATGCGGACTTCCTGTCTTTATACTACTTCCTTCTTTACTCCTGTCAGCTCATTGGTCATGTGATCGCAGCTCTCTTATATACATAATTACTGGCTCATGGTTACGTACCTTATATACGAATTGCGGTGTATTACTTTTAATGATATCTGTGTCATTTTATATACAATTAAATGATGTCAATAAAAAATATACGCCTGTAACAGTTAATGGCATCCAAAATTTAACATCAATTTAAGAAAAAACAAAACAAACGAACAAAAAAACCCTGGACAAATAGGTCTAAAACTCAGCTTTCAATTTAATGTAAACAGTTTCAGAGGAATTAAATACTGGTGAGCACACAGCAAATATACATTTTCATAACACTCCTTAAAAGTGAAATCCAATCAAATTCTGAAATGTATTTTAAACAAAAACTTAAGAGTCTACATCTATGGTAGCGGCTGTGCCATGCTTTGCACCGAATGCTCACGTCAGCATACTAACAAGCTCGCAATGACAATGCTAACATGTTGATGTTTAGCAGTTATAATATTTAGCATGTGCACCATCTTCATTTAGCATGTTATCATGCTAATATTTGCTAATAGCAATAACTACAAAGTAAAGCTATGATGGAAACAGTAGGTCATACATTTTGAAGGTATTTGTCATAAACCAAAGTACTGGGCAAATTAAATTTTGACAACATGATGCTGCCAAATGAAACATCATGGGATCATGAAATTCATTAAAATTCATCCTGACAGAAACATGAATGTCTGTTTTAAATTTCATGGCAAACCATCTAATAGATGTTGAGACATTTCATTTAAAACCACAAATGTCCACTAGATGAGAATTCAGTGGATCACCAACGTCATTAGTTTCCATAGAATGTCTGTAAAACATCCATCCAATAGTTGTTGAGATTTTCCATGTGGTCCAAAGTGGTGGACCGACTGATCGTACCATCCCTAAAGCCATGCTGCTAGCATCACAACACACTAAGAATAACACTTGTATGGAAGTAAAAGATGGCATTATAATTCAGTATGGCTGCAGGATCTTGTTATTTAACACACAAACGATAAACCATATGATCAGCGTGATTCATCTGGATTTGTTTGTGACTGTCAGATTCATTTTTGATGACGAGCTCTGCTCAGTGAAACCTCGTACCTCATGAGGAACCTGGGCTTGCTGCTCTGATGAATAACAGGTTTGTCGTCTTTTATCTTTTCATTTCCAGCGGGTTTTGTTTTAATGAGCTGCTCCTTCAAGGTGCGTCTCTGAGGTTTGGTTTTCTTCTCCTGTCTCAGAGAACAAATTGGCAAGTTTTTGTCTTCCATCAGATGTCTGCTCTCTGACATCTTTCTGTTGCTGTTGGCAGATGTGGTGTTATTGTTTCCCTCAGTACAAGATTCACCTTTCATTACCTGATGCTCCTCAGAGAAAGCAGTGTCCTCCACAGGGACATAATCTGACCCCACATTGACCTTCACTCTTTGTGCCAACAAAGCAAAGCCCCCACTCAACGATATACTCTGAAAGTAAGGGTACACCTTCTCAATAAAGCGATGTCTAAACATGAAAAGATGTGTGTCAGTGTCAGGGTTTATGAATTCCAGCATCCCTTCATCCCAGTCCAGCTTCACACGGACCCTGCTGAGGTGGTCTGAGTATAGGGTCTGAGCAGGAGAGGCCAGAGCTCGGTACTCTCCTTCTTGCAGGCTGATACACCAGAGTCCTGCCTCTGGACAGGCCTCAAACTCTGCTTTTCTGGACACTGACTGAGCAGCAACACCAACTGTCCAATTGTTGGTGTCGCCAACCTGTTGAAATCAATACAGAAAGATTAGGCAAACAGGGTGGACGACAGGAAGGATTCAGAAACGTGTCTCAAGGCATGTGTATACTAGAGCCCAAGGAATTGAGGCTGACACCATTTGCAATAATTACAAGCAAATAAAATCAATATATGGCAGGATATTTCACACATTTTTCATATCAGTGACAAACACATTCTTACTCCTTACTCATCAAACACTGTGGCTTGGTCAGTGGTCCTATGCTTCAAACTATGATCCTCTACACACCCTCTTAGCGGCAGTTTTGTAAGTGTCAGTTTACGCTCTTTACATGCATATCCTCCTGAGAACCTACATCACATATGAGGACATCACATTTACTGGACCTTATACTTCATTCTACTTAACTGAGACCTGTTGTCCTCTTTGTGGACACCTGTCTGTGCCATCTAGTGGTAATAAGAGCAAAATACACTAATCCATGTAAAATCAAGATGGCAGCCATCTCTGCTTAGTTGGTCTTGATTCCGACACAAAAGTAAACAAGGTCCAAACCCTGACCACATTTTATGATTGAACTTGTTTATTTATGATTAATAATGTTAGTAGTTTGATGTGGCAACAAATTTGACCAGTTTTAGCAACAGTAACAAGCTAAGACGCTGTTAATTAGGAAGTACTTGTTTGAAGACATTGGAACTTAATTATCATCATTTTATCCTTATCAGGCCCTACTCATCCCAAATAGCTGGGAGATAATAAAAAATCATACCAAACAAAGGCATCTCAGGAGGATATCGTGTCTTTTCAAAATAAACTTCCAGTTAGGTTTAGGAAAAGATCATGGTTGGGTTTAAATAAGTAGGCATGTTATGTGCGTGAAGTGTGTTAAGTACATTATGTATGTGACGTAAATTAAGTACATGAAGTCAATTTACATAGTTACAATTAAAATAAGTTAATGTTGACTTTTGGTATCACACAGGACACACACACACAGCAATCTTCTGAGTGAAAGTCCTATGTATATTTGACCCATTTTTTCCACCTGGCCTCCTCAGTACACAGACTATGTCACTCTTTATACTACATCACCTGACTTCCTCCTCTGCTCCCGTCATAACTACTATGGCCACATAGAGTGTCATAATTTGAAGCATAGAGCTGCTGTACAAGCTGCCTTATTTTAGGTCCAAAGTACCAAAAGGTCCAGTGTGTAGGATTTATTGGCATCTAGTCTGAGGTTGCAGACCTGAAACTTCTCCCATGTGCCAAGCATATAAGGTAAGTACAATGTCTGACACAAAAATGTGAATGTCGCGACCCTGACCTGCTCTGTGTGTAGATATAAACGTTCTAAGGTAATGAAAACACAACAATTCTAGCCAGTGTTCTAAAGCCAGTATTTACCAGTTATAATACTGCTCAGGCTCTAGTACAGACAGTATGTAATACCTCAATATCCCAACAGTGCACTCCTGAGTCAAAGTCCTCTCTCGCCAGGATGCAGGAACAAGGGTGGAAACGTTCAGGGTTAGCTGGGACAGGGACATTAACATCCAGACTTTGTTCCAGCCCCTGTGAGGGTCCAGGGCTGATATGGACACTGTTTAACCCAGAAGACACCCTCAGGGACTGACCAGCTGTCCTGGGGTCCAGAGTCACTGGAGCTGGAAGACACAAAGGGGCTCAGAGGGTACTGACGGCGAAAATGGACAGGAAGTAATCAGAAAGTGTATGCATAGGAAGAGACTGACTGTATGGGGCGATGTGTTTCATCTTCTCCCACTCGGCATACTTTAGGTTACCCACGTGTTTGGCCACATCTATTAGAGGTTTGTAAACCTCAAGAGGCTCCATGTCATCTATCCATGTACTGCAGTGAATAAACATGAACATGCAGACAGTTAAACAGGTGCATTTGCATGTGTATGTACTTGTATGTGTGAAAAAGTCCCATACCTATTCATCACGTCTTCGTAGTGCTGTAAAAAAGCAGAGTTTGTATGATTACTGTTTGAAATACAAACACCTGCTCTCATTCATTGACTAATTATGTAACATTTGATTGATGTTACCTCTAAAAATCCAACCCCGTCTCCTTCTGCATCTAGCTCTTCTTCCACCAGTTGGATCTTCTCTTCAAGAGATTGTATCACCTGAATTATACTGTCTACCTGTTCTTCTGCATTTCTCCTCTTCTCGTCTCGTTCCTCCCTGAGAGCAAGTAGCTTGGCTGCTTCCTCATCTCTCAAAAACTGGTGAAGACTCTCAAATTCCTTTTTCATGAGCTCCTCTGCGAGTTTGGCCTCAGCCTGGGAAGAACAGAAAAAGCAAGAAAAGTGTGAGGAAAGAAGAGGACGTCCTGAAGTAATGACCCAATCATGACAGTTAGCAATGCATCTGAACTTTGATTGTTTCCATTTTTAGTCACAGTTCTACCTCGTTATGCCCGAATGCATGTTCACAGGTCTGAGCGACTTTCTCAAAGTCAGTCTTCTTCCTCTTCAGTCCATTTAGTGATGTTCTGAGCTCTGCCTAGGGGCCAAAAGGAGAATGACTTTTAAACAATGCTCCATCCATATCTGTTGCCACTATCACAGGGTAGTCAAAGACAAAGTACACTTAAGTGCAAATACTTTTTGTTTACTATAGTAAGATATTTGACTGCTACATTTATGAATAATTTTGCAGGTTAATATTTTATACACAAAATTATAGATCCTTCTGAGACCTTGGCTTCTGTCTGTTCCATGCTGTTTGGGATCAGTCCGACCTGATGAGTATAAAAACTAAACATTGTCTTTGAACAGAAAGTAGTTTTCAGAAAAATTATGTCCTCATATGAGGACGTTGGATTTATTTTTAATAGTGACAATGTCTAATAAAGTATAAAACTGCTTATTTCAATGTCTGAATGTTGTT